CCAACCATCTGGATAAACGGTCTTCGACTGCGTTTTTCAAGGTACTTTCTTCCAAGCCAAACCATGCTTTGAAATCAACCTATTTCCGTACCGATATGACAACATAACCTTCATGAGAGTATATTGTTTTTAAAAGGCCGGCAGCTTATCTGCAATTCCTCCAGTGGTACGGGTGCTCATGGGCGCCGGTAGTCACTTACCATCAGGTGAGCCGCATGGTCGTTTGTGCTCTATGTTATATAAAAAAAGTACATCGATAATCAGTTTCTCAGAAATATAATACTAATTAAGAGATAGGTAGTAAGTACCATACCATATGCTTGGCCTTCGAGCTAAAATAGCTAAAGCACAGTCCAGAACACCTAAACACAAGTCAATATAAAAAAAAAATCTTTTCCTAAATTAGCCTAATGAGAATTAACCCCCATTTAAATAAACAACGTATATAATTAAATAAATTTTAATTTTTATATACCTCTGACTTTAGTTTTATATTTTTTCCACTTCTCTCCGATTTGAGTACAGAAAATCTAATGAAATCCAGTAGATGGATAGGTACCTATGTATACATTAGCCTTTAACTGTCCACTGCTGAACATAAGCCTCCCCTTGGGGAATTTTGCCACACTTGGCAGGCGGATTGGTAACCACAGTTACTTTTAGGTAGTTTGGCTTTAGAGATGTTTAAGAGGGACGCTGCTGCCCATCTTTGCCTTTCCTTAATCCTTAACGGGAAAGGATTTTCTGTGCCTGGACCACACGTCCATATATATACAGGTATACACTTAATTGGGAAGGTAAAGAAATCGGACTAATACACAGAATGGTAAAATGAGAAGCAGCAAAAATAAAAGCAATCTGCAATCAAGTTATTTTTGCAAGGGGCAGTATAATTCCGAGATCAAGCACTACTATTGGTTGATGAATGGAGTTTGGATCTCGCTACAGAAACGAGAAAAAGAACAGAATAGAACTGGCCTGATAGAGCTGCATATTGTTTCTGATTTCCATCAGACAGGCATGCCCAATGATTATGGAAATTTCACTTTTATCGATGGAATATACCAGGCGTGTGCCGGCGAAGTTCATAAACACATTTGCATCCCGAGCGAGGCCCGCCGCAGAAACCACCTCAATCGATCGCTAAAAAAATTCATCGCATTATACTCGACGCGTAACTACCTATATAACTTTAATACCAATCTCTACATCGCAAATACTCATTCATTACATATGAAAAATGACCCTTAACACTTTCTCATAAAAACAATATTGAATCGTCAACCAAAACCCCATAGGCCGTTGCAAGATACGAAGATTCCAATACAATAATACGTGCACTGGGCCGGCGCGCGCGCACTCTGATCTGACCACTACTGTGCATTTCCCACGGGCTGCGTATAAGTCCGCACCGCTCACACCGTATAACGCTGTCCCTGTCTGCCCTGATGGACTGCCGCTCTTTCGTTAAACGAAGCACACCCACACACACCGTCGGTATTTCAGATTGTTCCGAGGTGGAGACCGGCATAGATTACGTCAGCCCACGACTTGGCTGCTAGAAGTTTGTTATCGATATAGCACTGCTTGTTACGTGCCCAACCCTGCGTTTTCATGTATTGCAAATTATAGGGTAGTTACATGATAATTTATATCTAATTCGGTGTTATTCGTGCTTGTAAACAGATAATCTATTTATTCTGCAGCCTACTTGAATTATGTCGGTACGAAACTTAAACATAGAAAATGTAGGTATACGTACCTAAATAGTCGCTTGGAGGAATATGTATATGCCTATTTAAGATTACTACCTCAAAATAATAACTATTAGTATCTTCTCTAAATTACCCTATTTGGTGTCCATAATAAAACCAATAGATAATATGAATAATAACACAAATTATGGTTGTATGGTTATAATTCGTAACGAAAGGAGGAATAAATATGGCAGTGAAATTACAGGAAATGCCAACGCATAAGGAATATAATGGGCGTCACAGTACTTATTCTGTGATGTCCGCGGTGTAGTTCATGTCTATAAGCCACATTTACCGTTTTCCATCAACCAAGCTGTCAGCTTGTTTGCTAAAAATTATCTAGCAAACAACCAGTAAGTGATAAGTAAAGACCATGGTAGTGTCTCACCTGTGAATTAAAGAGTAGAAAAAAATATTCGTGGACCTAGATTGAGAAATCAAGAAAATTGAGGCAAAATATGTAGTTTTTAAAAGACTATAATAAAATGGAAAACCTTGCCTGTGCTATCCTTATACGCTGGTATAAGGATAGCATAGGCGAGGTATTGCGATATATTAGTGCTCACCAATGAAGGATGATAGATGTGGATGAAAACAAGTCAGTTGGACTATCATGAAGAATTCATCAAGAATTAACTACAATGGTTTACAGTGTGGCCGAAGGAAGGCGACCTGATAGAGTGCAGGTATTACTGAAACAGAACAAAATTTACAAGACTATTGAATGTACGTCATACATAAAAGTTTTTTATGAAAAATATAAAAGCCCTATATGAAATTGATTATATTTTTACGTAATACATAATTAGGTGATACATAAGTATCTATTTTATAAAGATTGGACTTATGAACAATTATAATTAGTTAAGATAGACTGATTACAAATGTTTTTACTGAAAACTGATTGGTTATTCTTGTCAGTTCATTGATGAGTTTAAATGTTACCTACGTTTATTAAAAAGAAATGTAAATATTATTAATGAAATAGATGTTTGAATAGGTATAGAGACAAAAAAGAAGATAGTCTGAGTCATATTCTGCTATTTAAATTTTCCCTTAAAAGTTGCAAGTTTACCCCACTTTCTTACGCAGATAGATAAGTATATCTATACGTGGAGTACCTACATTTACAAATCAAATTACTAGGGAGAACTGAATATTTATTTATTTATATATATATATATATATATATATATATATATATATATATATATATATATATATGTATTGATAAAATATTATATATATCCCAGTAAATGGGGTATATGGGTATATATAGACTGCATATTGTATTTAACTCATTTGTAAAACTATTATTATAGAAGACAGGTATCTAACTTATACCTGTATTAATAACTTTACCTACTAATCATGATGCCCTACATCTAATAACTGCTTATTAAATATAACAATTATGCAAATATGTTCGCTTCGATTTGCGTGATTTCGTGATCACAATTTTTTCTAAATATTCCAACTTTGAAATATCTGCAAATTATTACAAATTATTCCATCAGTTAAACGTCCATCTAATCTTAGTAACATTCCATAAATAATTTACGATTTTAGACAAAATTATCTAAAACACTTTCCCACCAATTTCGAATTGCAACACAATCAGCAATAGTGGATCATTTCGTGATTTTTACTACAGAATAACAAGAGAGTAACGTCACAAATATTATGCAATAACCATTGCTGGCTAAGTGCAAGGCTTAAGACCATATAAAAAAATAAAATGGTCATTGAATACAACTTTATATAAACTCAACAACAGTTTGTGACGATTAACGTATCGTAGTACAGGGTTGTCTAATTCCCCATCTGTCTAGAGCTCGTGCCTACCACGTCTCCTGTCAAGACAAGCCGCGGGCGCTGGCCCCATTGTAGCTAATTAGGACGAAATATTTCGGACACCGATTAGCCTGCATCGATGGATTTAGCCGTCAATGTGATTGCCATTTTAAAATCGTAAGTTGGCTTCAATCAGGCGCTATTAAATATTATGTATTTGTTGCTAAAGTTATTAAATACACAGAATAATAATTCTGGCATATTTAAAAAAAAGGTCCTAGGAGAGATTTTGCTTCACTCTGTGTTCTGCCGCTTGTACAACGGACTGTGCTCACAGAAATTGTTCAATATGATGCCCACGTCCACTTTTTACCATCGGTCATTTCGCCATTGACAGGAATTCGCCCTATACCTTAGAGCTTAGATGATCGCGTACTGCATAGTTTCAGAGACTTTCCTCCAATGAACGCCGAGGTTATGGAATGAGCTCCTTGTTGAGGGTTTTTCAAGAAACTACAGCGTGGGGTTCTTCAAAAAAGGAACAAAGAGATTTCTCCAGGGTCGGTAACGCTCATGTAATGCCTCTGGTATTGCAGACGTTCGTAGGTAACCGATTAGCATCAGGTAGGCCGTATACTTGTTTGCCACCTGTGGTATAAAAATTTTTAAAATACAAACTTTTATGGACTAATCGAAATTATAAACCAGCTGGTTGGCTAGTGACTTCAGCATAGCATTTTGTCTCTGTAAGACCCCTCCCCCATTAGTCACCTCTTACAACACCCACGGAAAAGGAAGGGATGACCTATTCTATACCGAGACCACACGGGAAATCAAATCACTCGTTACAAATACTTACATTTTTTTTTATACAACTTAGAATGGCAAACAAGTTGACAGCCCACCTGATGGAAAATGGTAAACGTCACCTATAGAAATGAGCAGTACCATGGACATAACAGAGTGCACTGTTTCGCCCATGATACCCCCCATGCGTTACCATTCCTGAGGACTCAGGTATTATTCCTCTGTACCCTGCAAATTCACGCCATATACCACCCTTCAAACCGAAACAGCCATGCAAACACAACTGCTTCACTGTAGAAACACGAATGGAACAGAGGTACCCAAGCAAACGACTTTTGTAGTCATACCAGTAACACTCCCATTACTAGCTATATACCCTATCAGATCGCTCTCCACGTAGTTCTCCATGGAAACCGTCATAGTTAATTCTTGAATTTGTCTCGATTCGTCTTCATCATGATCTGAATCATGATATGATCTGTTATAATCCCTTACTGGAGCCAACACTAACGTAAAGTGATAGTGCATTCATTTTTTTCATCATTAAAATGTAGTGATAAGGGAACACCGTCTATTAGTCCGATTAAGATTTAAATGGAAAGAAAAAAATATAACTTGAATAATAAAACCATTATATTAATTTGATCATCTTTTATTTGTCGAAACAATATTTTCCAATTGAAAATACAACACTTATCACTAAATAAACAAAACGAACTTAACAGTAAATAAATCGGTAGGATACTTCTTAGATATAAACCTAAAACTTGGAATTTCGTACGAAATAATGACATTTATAAAATCACAATCAAAATACGTGAATTGGAAAGACAAATCACTGTTTTCTAATGATCATTAGATCATTATTATTATCAAGTGACATGGATCTTACTATGTTAAGACAGCAATGCACAAATCAATAAAATATAGAAGATATATTTCTTTGAAATGTTATTATTTCAATAATTAAATAAAAAATCTCCAAGACCATACAGAGTCATGACGAATTTGATAAATTATAATCAACACGGAAGTATACTTTTTATCCCCAGCACATCGTAAGTGACTACGGAACAAATGGAATAAAGCAATAATAAAATATAAAGAAAAACTTCAATCCATCTAGCCAACTCCATTTTTAGTAACATACTCTATCAGATCAGAAACTATTACAGTTAATTCCTGATAAATTCATGACAATTGGCTTATTAACCTGTTTTCATCCTCATTTACCACTCCACTTGTGCCCCACCAGCGTATACTAATAGCGGAGGCGGGGTTACCACAGCAAAAAAATACCATCTTACCAATGTAGAAAACTGTAAGCCTCCTTTGGCAAAGGCCCGTGCTCGGTTAAAAGCAAGGTTGTCATATGTGATATTAGATTTTTACCCAAATGTCAAATATTTTTTCTCCAAATCAAGCCATTAATAGAGTTGTTAAGGGCAAAAATCTAGAAGCAAAGAATCGATCCTCGAATAACAAAGGTCATAGGCAAGAAGATGGAAATGGTTTATCAAATTGTACATTCTGGATAAAAAAGAAAATAAAAAAACAACTGGCTCTAATATTATTGTGTATATCTATTAGTACAACATAACTGAATAGCTTATAAGATAGCATTAATACTCAAAATATAGTCCTTCTTGTTTAATCTTATAAAAATTCGAAAAGTTAACACCCAACTACTGAAAAATATTGCGATAAAAAGATTAAAACAAGAAAATATTCTCATTTAAAACTGTTATGCACAAACTATTCAATATTTATTGTTTATTAAATAAACAAATTACACGTAATATATTGGAATGTATGTATACATATATTATTTATATAGCTACTTCCCACGAATGCTAAAGTTATGGAATGAACTCCTTGAGAAGGTTTACTCAAACAAATTCTTTTAAACACGATCATTTCAGACAGCTTGTTTGCGATTGTTTGTTAAGTTGTATAAAAAAATTGCCTTTATTTGCAAAACAATTCTTTTAGTTCGATAATATATTCTAGGAGAAGTACATAATTACAATGAATACCTATCTTATTAAAATCTGTGAATATGGATGAAACCAATTGAGAGCTCAGTGTTACAAGTACGGTCCTTAAATATATTGAGTTGCGATAAAACGCGAAAGCAAACTTGTGCTCCGGCACTATGACGAAGTGGTGATACATTGCAATTTTAGACGAGCGAAATTCTCTACTCATCTTCCCCAAGACGAGTGAATCTACATGACAAACATCCTCAAGTTATAAAGTCACAATTATATCAAAGAACCAGATGATGAAGATGACAAGGATGAAAGATCGTAGACCTTGTACAGGCATACAGATGTACGAGTCGTTTTCAGATGGCCGCAACTGCTGTCAGTTGGCGCTGACACTAATCCTGTTTACACTGTAGCCTATGAATGCTCTATGGTCTAAATCACTTGTAAATCATACTTAATTATTTATTATTGCAATAATTATATATGGTATTGGAGATTCCTATCAAAACCACGGCGAAGGAAAATTATTAATACTTATAATGCAGTAACCTAACAAATTAAAAATCATATAAACGAAACAACTAAATAAAACAACATTAATAATCTCATACTTTAACAGTACTTTTACAAAATTATGTTGTCCTTTATAGTATTTTTAAGATAAACTACCATGTCGCAAATTATAAACTAGTCAGTCATTCATATACAACAAAGGTGGTCTAGAAATTCTTGAGATTGCGACACTCCCACACAAGTATTAGTAATTTTTTTGTGGCTTACAATACAGTATTTAAAGCATCCCGTCCTCGCTATTGGATACAGGTGACGGAAAACCTGTAGTAGTTACATAGCGTAATTAAATAGTAAGCGTTGTTTAAGCGCGATATTGAGAAACATGAGGAAAGTAGGTGGACGTGAAAATTTATATTACTTAACAATAATGTAAACTTAATGATGACGCTCAATATAGAGTTCGTGGGACATGTGGACAACAAAATAAGATTTACACAGTTTCATTAATATACAGTTGTGCAGAGTAACGCGAGAAGAGGATTCTGCTGTCTTTGGGACGCATTGGATCCTATATACGCCGATATGCAATGAATCATATATGTGTATACTAAGTTAGTCATGAAAATTATTGATCTAGTCATGAAAATAAACATATTAAGTTTAAAAAAATCTTAATCGATAAATGTTATTACAATATATATGAATTCTTTAATGATAAAATTTGACAAAAGGAATATTTATTTATATTTATTAACGTCATTGTGACATCGTTCTTTTATTCTTGCCTGACAATTATTATTATTTTTTATTTAAATGTATTTAAAATTAGAATGTGATGACGATTAATTGTATGAAATTGACTTGATGTATAATTTTGAACTGTCTGTGTAAATACATATTGTTGTATGCCGTACAATATTATATAAGAAACTGTATCAATAATTATTTAATAGTATTTTGATTGTAAAAATAATCATTACTCAGATGTAAAAGGTTCCTCATGTCGTGATATGTTATTTTAATATTTTCTACTGTTTACAATTATAAATCCTTATCCCCTTAGTTTTATAAATCATTATCCTCCTATAATCCTTAGCCCTTTGATGTAATAAAAATATAAATCTCTAAATCTAATAACAGTCTTAATCATAAAAAAATTAAAACTTCTGTTAAACAGGTTTTGAATACATATTTATACGCCTAACTACAAAAGTGTTTAAGGCAATATAATAATCTATAATACTTTGGCATATAATATTACAAATAAACATTATTACAAACACAATTTTGTCTAAACAGTATTTAATCACTTACGAGTTTTATTGAACACTGTTTAGACAATGTTTTAAAATATTTTTTTTTGTAGTAAGACCGTGAGTAATAAAACATCTCTCTCTTATTTAATACTAGCTCATGAACAACTTCGGATACCAAAGCATCATGTTCAATTAAAAGTATCCTTATTTTAAAAACTATGTAAATATCATATTCTGTACAATTCGGAAATATGAAAACAAAATTTGTCCTGGTGACTTGTGATACGGGTTCTTAGGATACCCAGTTTGGGCACCAGTTCTCTACAACTTTCATGTATCTATGGTACTACTTTAAATGTTTCATTGTACTCAAAAAAGTTGTGAGATAAAATAAACAAAAAAAAATTAACTACTTCCCCAAATGGTAATAAATAAAAAAAACAAATCTATTAGCCTATCATAGCGACCCAAACAGACCACGCTCCTATTTTACTATATTGTATTAGGGACGCTTTCTATGATCGCAGAAAACAAAATATAAAATATTACGTTGTGCATATCCGTAAAGCAAAATATTTCACTAAATACGATATAATGCTACGTTGAGACACTAAATGGTACTTATTTATTACAATATCTGTATGTACATTAATGTACTATAGACAATTTTCTCTGATCCTCAATTTTTTCTCATAGCAGCCATACTTAAGGTATGCTCTGTAGAATCCCAGAGATTTGCAATGTCTAATTGCAATGAGGGAAAGGGAGGGCATGTTTTAATCTATCCAATCAGCAAGTCTCCTATTGAATCGAATATAAATATCAATTTAATCTATTGCCAATGGCAATTTTATACTGCACTTATAAAAAAACAGAATCAGTTTATAATTAGAATCGATTTACAATAGCTTGCATTGACGAATTACATAAATATGCATCTATCAGAACAATTTGGAACCATTATGTCACTAGTGTTGCAGTTCGAGAGTGCGAAACGTCTCAATTTCAATACCAATCTATTAGAATTTATTTTAAGAGTAACCTAAAATATCGCCCATTGTTTTCTCATTGCGATTATTTCTTGTAATTGTTTATATTTATAATAAGTTTACTATTGTAATCTTTTGGAGGAAACAATAAAGAGTATCTATCTATCTGTCTATCCTGGTTAATTCCCTGATCAACTAATCTCATTTCATTCTCACCTACTACACTGGTACTCCGTCACCGTAAACCATACATCCAACACAAAGTTACTATTCTATTTCCATTAATTAAAAAAAAAAAAAACATAAGTCATAAAACATTAGTAGTAGTAAGACCATAAAATTTCATGATTTTTACTATTTAACAATGAAAAAATTTATTTTCTCGGTTTGTGGCCATGTAAAAAGTAAATCAGATTTACAGCGATTATTACAAAATATGTTTAAAGACAAGACTATTCTTATGTTAAAGCTCTTTCAACATTAGAGATTCATCGTCAAAATCGTAAACAGAACCGTAACTATAGAAAACTGGGTCGTTTTTCGAAATTCCCTTAATAGAAACATCCCTGCTCTATAGATGAGATGTAAATCTCATGCGTTTACATGAGATTTACACTGACTATTGACATATCATATCTTTGTTTTTTTAAGCAAAATCAATTTCTTAAATAAATTTAAATAAAAAAAACTCAAGTAAAGAAAGATAGTCTTCCCGTATATCAATAGAGGGCAGGCAGAAAAATAGATAGATATATAATTTATTTGCATTATTTACAGAACATAAATATACACAAAAAAAGAATACATATACAAAAAAAAAAGTTTTTTTTTTTTATTTCGTGCATGTGCCACTGTAACACAAAATGGTCACAACTCTGTTTATTGCTTTCCTCTCAAAAGAGCATAACGCTGTTATTTTGCTATAACCAAAATCTAGCCAAAATAAAAAAAAGAACTCAATAAAAATTAATGAATATCGCCTTATGGTCGTAATTAGTACGTAATTAGTATGTAATTAAGTACTTATGGTCGTGTAAGTACTTATTCCGATTTTATTTACATTTAAAATAAAAAAAATATATAAATGCCTTACTGTATGCGATAAGGTTATCAGTTTCTAATGACATGTTTAGTAATAACTTTACGGCTTGACCATATAAAAAAATTAAACTATGAAAACTACCAAAATATATAAATACATTTGTACCATATTCATAAATAGATGCTTTATTCTTGAACCCTGCATTAATTTCCGGATTTTTATTTATTTTTTTATGAAATTTCCATTTTTGTTCAAAAATATATTTTCCATAATAATTTTATATAAAAGTCTAGATCTAGTATAAATGAGCTTTTCGAGATTTTTGTTTCTATGGGGACGCAATAATTGTCATTTATATTACATCCTTATAATGATTAATATTATAAACGCGAAACTTTATATTTTTGTGACAATTCTCTATTTAAAAAAAAATATCATTTTTATCGCAAAAATTCAGATAATTATTATGGTCCAAGAAACCACAGCCGTGTAAAAAACATGACTGCAACAATCGGAATCGCGAATAGAAATGTGTTATTTCATCGCACACGGGACACACATAGAAACTGCTAACATATTTCTAGTTAAAAGGGCACTTACTAGAATCAAAGAATCTGTTAATATTTTCACAACTGTTACTTATCAATTATTACAAGATTGCAATTAACAATTTACTCACAATTAAAAACACTGAATGAATCCGATATACAATCACAAACGATAAGGTCGCCCATTGTTTCCTCATTGTGATTATTTCTTGTAATTATTTATATTTATAATAAGTTTACTATTGTAATCTTTTGGAGGGAACAATAAAGAGTATCTATCTATCTATCTAAGATCACAATATTATAAATAAAGACTAGGTATTTTACTGAACTAGGAGTTATTTTGCGGAAGTCCATATCACTAATTATTCGATTATAATTCCGCTACTTTTAGTATGTGTGTGACTGCCAACACGCGAAAATTGACTACTATTAGTTCCACAACCTTCCATACTAGCCATCAATCTCCAACTGTCATTTCGTCCATGCACGTTTCGTCGGCTATTTTGGTGTCAAACTGTTAACACTAGGCTTAGAGTAGCAATCTAATAATTTGCCTGAAGAGGCCTCGTTTAGAAGTGAAACACGTGTCACAAAACGTGCGTATATGACTAATGGAAGGTTGTCGAACTTTTGGCAATAATAGTAATCATTCTTCGAGTTTTGGCAATCGCACACAAGCTAATGGTAGCAAAATTAAACAAAATAATTCTAATCAAATAATCAGTAAAGACTTGGTGCCTAAAATGACTAGCTCCATCGGTATTGTCATTCGGTGGTTTGGACATATGGATAAAATGTCAGTGTAATAATAATGACATGGATTTAACAATTTAAAAATAGAAAGAGGCAAGTACCAAGTCAGACATAGGCTAATCTATCTTTTATGCCTAATAATAAATTTATTTGTGGTATGACAAAATTAATTAATAATTAATTCAAGATTAATTATTAATTATTTTACAATAACTTAACTAGATTTACTTATAATAGATGTTTAATGTTCGTCTTTAATTTAAATTGCCATAAATGAGTCTCAAATAATACATTTATTATATGAGTTAACGTTTTGATCTGAAAAATTAGATGGATAAAATGAAATTTTACACAAAATGATTCTTATACATACAAAGTACAGATTCTTATATAAAATAGAAATTAATTTAGTTAAATGAACAATATAATACTGTTTCCATGTCATGAAAATATTTTTTATTCGATATTCCTTTACAGAAGCATCTTTAATAGATTCTTATAATTATACCATTATAACAGAGAAAAAAAAAGAGTAGATTATATTCATAAGGCGGATAAAAAGCGTAAAGCAACGTATGATGCACGCTGTTACAGTATCTCAGACTACTGAGTACACAATCGAGGGAGCTCTCGCTCGTTACCTGCGAGCATAGTCTGCCAATAATCAATGGAATTACTTCACACGAACGAATGTCTGAGTACTTAACTATGCGAATAATTTAAACAAATTTTAATTTTTATATATGAATATGACCAATTAGGTCGATAATTCGATAGAAATTGTTTATTACAGTAACTGTTTTATTTATAACTTTTATATGTGCTTGGTTTTTTTATACTTAATATAGATATTTAAATCATTTTTAACACAATTAATATTTTTTAAATAGGTAATTTAAAAATAAATTTGCCCTAAAAATCATATTAGACAATATTAAAAAAACGAGTAATGTTTATTTTTACACTGTTAATTTGAAAAAAGACATACCAATATTATTTACTAAATTAATATGCCAAGTGAAAAAAAATATAATTTGGACATCAGGATGTCCGAATTCATGAAATTATAAGCTATTTTAAAATATACCATTTATTTAAATTCTAAATAAGATGGTCCTGATGATGTATTCGTCAATCTCGCTCGCACACAACGATTAATAGAAAATAAGGTCTAAACGGCTGAAATTAATCTACTCTTCTTTTTCTCTGGCCATAGCATCATTACGAACATAGGATACGAAACTGTGGAGTGCCACTTAAGATAATCAAATAGAGATCAAATCGATATCATATTAAATAGATGTAAAATAACAAGGCAAGGTAACATATATTCGACTATATATATGATGCGGCTAGATCGTAGTATTGATTACTTCATAATGTTGACCGACTTGTTCATGATATAGCCAGATAAATTTGACTGTATAGTTTTAATGTCAGCATTTAATGTGTCCAATCCATGTTTGCCCATATCATTAATGTATGTATGAAATTTGAGTGACTTTCGTAAAATTAGATAAATATAGACATACAATTAAAATATGTTTATTTATGTACTCATGGTTAGAAAGTAAGTTAAGCTTGGATTAGATGATCTTTTTTTTATATATATAAAATCATTACATTCGCCAACTTTCATGTTAGTAAATTCAAAAATTTACTGATACAACAATACTAACAGTAAACATCTTTCACTTCACTTTTATCTTCAATCAACATTATTATTAAATATTTAATCAGAATAATCGCTCGCCGCCATGATCCATTACAAAAACAAAATAATATTAGCGCCTCTAACGGTGGGTAATGTAACTATTTAACGATATGGTCGGTAATGTTTGACCATAGATATAATAGCCATGCGTTTAGCTTTTCATATTGGCGAAAACTGATTATTCATTGATCTGTCAAACTATATCATGATTGTTGGCACCATTTCATGAAATCCATTTCACGAAAGACAACCATAAATATAATGGTCAAATAGTCGGCCACATCATGAAGTGATTAATTCTACGATTTGACCACGACATAGACATATATTTTACGATAACTTTGATTTGATCTCAATTCTGTTGCAACAAAAGTCACACCACAAACCCGTACACACAACACAATGAGACATAATAATTTCAATGTACATATTATGTCTATTATTACGAACATCATATTGTGTTTCAGATAATATTCTATTTACAAGATACAATGTATAGCACCAAAATCTATGCTAAGATACTATACATACTAATTTATCAAACAATTTGAGGTAGATTTTAGAAACGAGAATTATCAAAAATAGACCAAATATTTGAGCTTCGATCAAAGCCTTTCAGCTGTTGAACTAAAAATCTTACAGATTAATCTATATATCAGTGCAAACTGGCGCAAACATATTAACATATAGAAAATAAAAAAATAAAAACAAAACAAATATTGTATGTACTTCACGATCATTTTTACAATAATAATGCGTATATTACGCATAATTTCCGCTTTTTTATTATTTGTAAAAATTTGATTTGGAAAATATATTAGTTTTTAATTTACAGAAGTATATTAGATGTATATAAAATTTAAATATACTTCTTCCAAGAACATAAGAAATTTTATTACTTACTGATATACAATATAGAATTCAAATAGTATAACATGTTCACGCCAGATTCAATGCAAATACTAAATATTTTTTTTACAAGAAGAACAACTTATCTGCCAATACTTCAGACGGCTGTTGGTGTATACTTTGGCCGACGAGGTATGCCAGTTTATGGGCGTACTGGCAGGGTGCTGGCACGCGGACCGTACCAGGCCAGTTGTAGTACAAATGACACATTTTGTACGTTAACCTTTGGCACTGGTCCGGCGTCATGCCGCTGTCGTCATGAATGACGACGTAATGTGTCGGCGTCACGGTGCCTTGGTTCACTTTCTGTGATACGATTAGAAAATCGTACCTGGAATGTAATTTAATATTCTATAGAATCTCAACAAGCAAAATAAGACTTACTAAGGGATATTATATGGACCGTGCCCATGTCATTTTCTGAGCCAAATAAGGGATAAGAATATTTTTACACTTATTTTGTATTAAATATTATGGACTAAAAAGCATACATTTTTTACCTGTAATGAGTGTGGTATGTGTAAAAGACAATGATTCAATTCATAATTAATACTACCCCATGTAATATTTTTTTTGTTACTAATATTATAAATATGAAAATGAGTTTGTCTATTTGTTATCTCTTTCTATCAATTTTTATGAAATTTCATATACTTGTAACATTTGAATAGAAAAAGACATAGGTTATATTTCTCTCTGACCTATCAATATATATCGGACACGTACGTAACGTTTAAGATATGGTATAAAAATTTGTAATAAATAAAAAACACTATAATCACAGAAAGGAAGGGAGAGTTTTTTAGTTTTTTATATTACAATTATAAACTAATAATTGATTTAACAGTATCCTCATTTATCATCCCTTACTAGTTCCCCACCGAGGAAGGGAAAGGGATTGTTAATAATAGAGACTGAAAATCCCATTGCTAGCAATATACCCAACCAGGTCGACCTCCTCGTGGTTCTCTCTCGAAACTATCATGATTAATTCCTGATGAATTCATCATGATGGGCTAACTGGCCTGTTTTCATTCTCATCTATCACCCTTCACTGGTGCTCCGCCAGCGTATCCCGTTAGCGCAGGCCATACCATTTTCACCCATCAAAAAAAAGTTCCCCACCGGCGTATACCTGTAGCGCGGACGGAGTTGCCAATTAATTTGCATTATTTAAAAAAATACCTACACGGACATAAGCACTCTGAACATAGGTAACTCCTTTAAACTGCGACAAAGAACCGGTATATGGAACCAGGAAAAGACTTACCAATCTCGCCTGGTGACAGCGTGGTCAACAACCGTCCCTGGATGAGGGTTTTCGAACCCGCCGCTAACTTTCATAAAGATCCTGGTGTTTATCCGTTTTTGTACCACCACGTAGGTCAGCGTGGGCTTGTACGTCGCATCCATGGTCGTGAAGCAAATTTGCATTTGTGGTATCTCGTATTGTTGAATCTGCTTCAACTGCCCATCGCCGACACCATCCCTAATAAATTAAACATTTATAACAAATTCTTAGGCGTTCACATGTTTCTATGGTTTTTCTGTTCGAACTGACATTACAGTCCTAGGTATGATTGCCTCAAGGCTTTCTGATGTATCTGCTACCCTCTTTTAATAATAATGAGCATAATTATATCTACCTACATATATATTAGTAATGGGAGACTTGATGCGCAGTCAGTAATAAACCAGTATTCTTGCATACCAGTTGTTATCACTTCGCGAACCATCCTTAATACATATCAGTGGCGATGAGGACGATACTACCTACAATAAAAATGTCTTTTATAGGAAATATACCTATTTTTGACTATAAAAACTGTGAATGGTCTATTTTTAAAGGTCGATTAATTCAATTTTTAAAAGTGAATAATGTGAAAGATGACTGTAAATGTGCAATATTGATTACGCATTTATCGGACAACTCATACCGTCTAGTGCGTAACCTAGCCTATCCTGAAGAACTGGAGACGCAAAGTTTTGAAAACCTGGTGTTATTACTCGACAGCCATTTTAAGCCGAAACAGTGTTCATTCGCCGACAGAGCAAAATTTTATTCCGCAACAAGAAACTGCGGGGAGTCACTAGGAGACTGGGCGGCACGACTAAGAGGTTTAGCAAGTTACTGTGACTTTGATGTTGCCTTGGATACAAATCTCACGGACCGTTTCGTCCTAGGTCTGGGTCCAGGTCCTGAACGCGATAAATTGTTTGAACAAAACGTTTCCGAGTTAAAGTTAGCACGTGCCATTGAAATCGCGGAAAAGGCAGAATGTGCTAGGGATGCAAAGGCATTCGTATCACTCAGTGGCTGTGAAGGAAGAAGCGATATATAAGTTATCGTACGGATCTGCAAGGAGAAATTACGGCGGTAACGGCGGTGGCAGCAGTAAAAATGGCGGTGGCGGCAGTAAAAATGGCGGCGTCGCGAATTCACGTGCGGCGTGGACGTCGCAGGCTAGCCGCGATCAATGTAAATATAATCACGAAATACAGTGTTTAGTATGTGGTATGAAAAATCACAGTGAAGATAAGTGCCGTTATAAAAATTACAAATGTCAAAAATGCGGTATTAAAGGGCATTTAAAAAAGATGTGTAACAAAAAAAAATAAAAACGAACATGTTTACGTAAATCAAATCGGAAAAAATGATTCGGATAGCGACACCGGATGTGACGAGTGCCAAAACTTTAATTTAAGGTATGTAATTAATAATAAGCCGATACGTATAGATTTGATGTTAAGTAATAAGTTCGTGACCATGGAATTAGACTGGATCAGGTGCATCAGTCATTTCAAAAAATATGTATAACGACATGTTCTCAATGCATAAATTAATGTATAGCAATATTAAAATGTGTTTGTATAATGGACATAAAATTTCACCTTTAGGGTATTTTGTAACTAAGGCCATATTTAATAAGAAAACAAAAACGTTGAAAATATTCGTAGTAGATTCGACCGGCCCTCCTCTACTGGGTCGTGATTTTATGTCCACCTTCGATCTTGTGTTAACTACAAATATTAATACCTTGAGTTATGATATTGATGTAAACACATTACTGGAACGTTACCCTAACCTATGGCGAGATGAGCTCGGCAGCTTTAACAAGTTTAAAGTTCATCTACAATTAAGGGAAAACGCGGTTCCAAAATTTTTCAAGGCTCGCCCTATACCCTTTGCCCTAAAAGATAAGGTAGTATTGGAATTAAATAGACTGGTAAATCTAGGTATATTGATTCCAGTTAGTAATTCGCGTTACGCAACGCCTATTGTACCGGTGTTAAAAAAAGATGGTACAGTAAAAATTGCCGGCGATTACTCTGTTACATTGAATAAGGATTTATTAATTGATAAATATCCTTTACCAAGGATCGAGGAGGTATTTGCAAAACTTGGTGGAGGTGAACAATTCTCCAAAATTGATTTAAAAAATGCATATAATCAGTTTTTACTATCAGACGATTCACAAGAACTTACGACAATAAATACACCGAAAGGGCTATTTAAATATACGCGACTTGTTTACGGCCTAGCTAACGCACCAGCTGTATTTCAAAAATCGATCGAAATAGTGTTGTCGGGCATCGAAGGTGTAAGTATCTGGTTAGATGACATCTGTATAACAGCTTCCACAAAAGATAAACATTTAGAAAGGCTAGAACAAGTACTGAGCAGATTAGACGACGCCGGTTTACGATTACAAAAAGATAAGTGTGAGTTTTTGAAAGAAAACGTTACATAGCTAGGGTACGTAATTGATAAAAATGGTTTACGTACAAGTCCAGAGAAAGTAAAAGCTATAATGAATTCTCCCGAACCTACGAATGTTACTGAAGTAAAAAGATTCTTAGGTGTAATTAATTATTATAGAAATTTTATACGGAATGCGTCGAGTATTATGAGCCCGCTTCACGAGTTGTTACGGGACGGCGCTAAGTGGGAGTGGGGCGAGCGGCAGCGGCTCGCTGTGCGCCGCGTGCGCGCTGAGCTCGCCTCGGAACGGGTGCTGGCGCACTTTGACCCGGCGGCGCAGCTAGTGCTCACCGTGGACGCGGGGCCCACTGGCCTCGGGGCGGTCTTATCACAGCTTGACAGTGAAGGTCGCGAGCGTCCACTGGCTTTCGGTTCTCGTTCACTCTCGAAGAACGAACGGAATTACAGCCAAATACAGAAAGAGGATACGGCAATAATATTCGGAGTGAAACATTTTCATCAATATTTGTATGGTCGAAGTGAGCCGTTCATTCTTAAGACAGATCATCGACCGCTAGTCTCGATATTTAATGTTAAAACGGGAATTCCGACTACGACCGCGCTACGACTGCAAAGGTATGCTATTATTTTGTCGGCATACAATTATGTTGTTCATTATATTAGTAGTGAAAAAAATGTAGTTGCGGATTATTTTTCTCGTGCACCGGTTTCGGAAACAATATGTGAAAGCGACAAAGAGTATGACGCATACTGTGCCATAAATTTTTTAGACGCGGCTTCATCGGCGGTACTGTTTAACAATGTAAAAGAGGCGACTAAGAAAGATAAGACATTACAAACTGTAATCAAGTACATGAAAGTGAGGTGGCCGCGTAAAATAAAATGTAAATCAATTATTCCATTTTTTCAATGTAGGACTGATTTACAATTTGAAAATGAGGTTTTAATGCGCGGTCATAAAGTTATAATTCCGTCAGCATTGCGTGAACGGATGTTACATGAACAGCACAGTACACACTTAGGTATAGTTAAAATGAAGTGTAACGCGCGCGGTAGGATGTGGTGGCCAGGTATAGACGGCGACATCGAGCGTTGGTGCGGCGCGTGCGAGCAGTGCGCCAGCGTACGTACCTCACCGGCGCGAGCCGCGCCCGCGCCCTGGCCGCGTCCACACGCACCTTAGCATCGAGTTCACATTGACTACCTGTCTGTAGGGCAACGGGTGTACCTAGTAGTTATTGACTCGTTCTCAAAATGGCTAGAGTGTATTCACATGAGCGCCGGCCTCACCACTCAAGCACTTATAACTAAATTAAAACAATTTTTTTCAGTTTTCGGTATACCTAACACATTAGTTTCAGATAACGACGTCAAAATAAATTGTAAAGAATTTAATGAATTTTGTTCCAGTAATGGTATTAAATATATTACTTCTCCAATTTACCACCCATGTAGCAATGGGCAAGCGGAAAACTCTGTCCGTACATGTAAAAAAATGTTAAAAATAGTTTTAAAAGAGACCTCAAACCAGTGTTCGCTCAATGAAAAATTAATGGGTTATCTATTTGAGTACAGAAACACCATACACTGTTCTACAGGTCAATCACCCGCAAAATTAATGTTTGGTAGAAATCTAAGATCTCGACTTGATTTAGTACTGCCTACAAAACATAAATATTCGTATAGTGAAAACAGCGACAGGAATAAAGCAAAACCCAGTAGATTTTTTAAAAATGGTGACAGGGTATTGGCGCGCTGGTACAGTGCTAGAAAGAAATATTGGAAATTAGGTGTAATTGTAGACACTATTGGTAATAGATTATTTAAGGTACACATTGATGATCTAAATACTACATGTGTTAGACACTTAGATCAAATAATACACTACAAGTGCGGAAAAACCATTGATAATGGGAGAAGTAAGCCACAAAACATCCACCCTTGTCCTGTGTACGGCCAGGGGACTCCGTCATTTTCACCACCCCCTACGGTATCAGTATTACCACAACAACTGAATGAGCAAAACCTGGTTAACACATCTTCGGTGGGGGGTGCGGAAGATAACGAAGTGCCAGCCACAAACGTAGGAGATTGTATTGTTCATTCTGATGGTAATGTCTGTAGAGTGGTGGAACGTGAGGGCGAGGATTTGGTGGGACAGGAACCGGAGGTTCAGATACCTCAAACTACATCTACCATTCAGAATCCAGTCACCATACAATCGTCACCCGGACGTTCCAAACGGCCTAGAAAGAAAGTAGATTATACAGTTTTCTTTAAGTGAAGGCCTAGTTTATTTTGTTTAGTATTAAGATATTTTTAGATGTAAAATGTACTTATTAGGCATGGACAGGCACCCTAATAAAGTATTGTTTGTTTTTCCAACAGGTTTCAAAATTAGGGTGGAAAGATGATGTATCTGCTACCCTCTTTTAATAATAATGAGCATAATTATATCTACCTACATATATATTAGTAATGGGAGACTTGATGCGCAGTCAGTAATAAACCAGTATTCTTGCATACCAGTTGTTATCACTTCGCGAACTATCCTTAATACATATCACTTTTACTAGATTTGGGAATTATATAATCGTCGCCTATAAACGTAAATAGTACCTTGGACATTACAAAATATACTAGTATATACTCTTTGCCTCGGCTTCTTAACCTATGGAAACAAAGACAGTCTAGCAGCTCTTGTCACCAGAGAGCACTCCTTCAAATAATTTAGAGTTTACTTACCAGACACATACATTTACTTGTTATTATGCATTGTAATTCTTGAAATAGAGCTTGGTCCTCAATGACTTTTTTCTTCAACATAGTAAACTAATTGAAGTATAAAAAATATATACCTGTATATTATAATTCGGTCGGGAAACTTTCCATTAGTCCTCAGGTAATGCTTGAGAGCGTCGACCAAACAGGATTTCAGGCTGTCCACGATTTCCTGACCCTGCTCTTGGAACACAGCCTTGGAGTACCAATGCGTCATTGTTTGATTGTAAGATGCTACGAAGGCTGCAATTACAAAAATAATTTATTTTTCCATTGAAAATACTAAATTATTATTAAATATAATAAAATAATTGTAAAAAAATTCTTGAATAACCACAGTATATTATAAAACAAACAGTGAAACAACACCATCACGACATAGATAGGACTATAGCTATGGCAAGAATTAACTATAAACAAAATGTTATTAACATGATTTAAGCAATAGTTTTTCTGCCCGTTTTCATAGCTTATTTTCTATCAGTGAACCAATATAGATAAACAACTGACTAAACTTCATTTGTACAAAATAAGCACTCATGAACTAATACCTAGTTCTTAGTAATTTTCAAAAATAAGATATGCTCTGATAATCGATTGTATTGAATCCAATGTGGCAGAAGGAGAACTATTCCCTATTACAATTTAGTTTGATAACAGTATTTTCATCACCACAGATTTAGCCAAAAATTTAAATTAACACACAAAGTTTTTAGTGTCGCCCAAATTCGAATTCAATATCTTATAAATCTTGATAGTATACCGTAAGGCTACGACACTCTTAGAAATGAAAATAATTTTCATTGAAGTAATTTAATTGTAAGTAACTTAATTATAAAGATTTTCTAATATTTTTTTCCAAGTTTAAGAATTTTTAGTAACTTTCCAATTGTTAGTAAATACTTTATTAACGATACATACAACATACACTACGTCTCTTTCTGCCTACATCATGATACGAATCAATGCCGATGACCATTGCAGTCTTGTATGGAATAGCAATGTTCCACAGTGTACCGCCGAGCTTGCAGTTGATCTGCAGAAGGATCTTTTGAGTGACGGAACGCACTTTTTGCTGGTTCATTATGGTTCGCGCATTAATTACCTGCAAACGTAAAAAGAAAACAGTATCAGTCATCAGAAGTGGAAAGTTGGCTTCACAACTTCAGACTTTGTACAAAAGTCATTTGCTTGGGCGCCTCTGTCCCATTCGTATTTCAACCGTAAAGCTGTTGTGTTTACACAGCTGTGTTTCAGTTTGAAGGGTGGGATATAGCGTGAATTTACTGGGTACAGAGGAATAACACCTGAGTCCTCAGGAATGGCAACGCATGGGGGTATCATAGGCGAAACAATATACTCTGTTATGTCCATGGTACTGCTCATGTCTATAGGCGACGGTTACCACTTTCCATCAGATGGGCCATCAGCTTGTTTGCCATTCAAAGTGTATAAAAAAAATACCAACTTGCCATGCATTACTACTATAGTGAAATTACAGGGTATGAAGGGCTTAAACAATAATTTTCAGGAAACCAAGTTAGTATGCTATTAAAAGTTGCAAAAAAAAAAACTATATTTTGTCCTCACCTGAGAAGGTATAGGATTATCGGCGCAACAAATCTTCTTAATAGCCGCATACCGATCGTCCCTGGAAGTTGGACAGATGGCCACTACCAACTGCAGTTGGTTCGAGATGACCTTCTTCAATGCCGCCACGTACGTATCTGTGCGGTCGTTCGGTAAACGCACCATTTCCGGATTATGAACGTTGATGCCCATAGGACGGCACGAGCGTTTCAGTACCTCAACAAAATCCTAAAAACATCGAAGAGCGAAGAGCTATAATAATAATAAATATTGCTGGAAATACTTTACAGTCATGTAGTGCTAAGCCGTGTAGGTTTCGGCATAGTATATAAGTAATATATTATATATATATAATATAATAATAGTATATAAAAATAGCATATCGTAAGAGGCGACTAAGGGATTTTATGGTAGAGGGATAGGCAGCAGCATCCATCTTAAAACATTGCCAAAAGCCAAACTGCGATTGCCAACCCGTCTGCCAAACTACTACTGGCAACTCCTTATGCTAGAGGCTATGAATATTAATAAGAATATAGTACTAAACTAAGCAGAGCTAGTACAACCAATAGATATTCTCATAAATAGAAAAGACACTGCACAGTACAAAGTATGTACACACCAATTATAAATTAGTGCCACTAACGCAGATTATTCTTGAATTCTAGATTTTTTTTTAATATTATTTTTTAGAAAACTAAAAGTAAACTAATTTTTTCTAAAAAACATATTTTTTTTAAAACCCTATTAATGAATACTAATAGCAGTTTTAAGGAATAATTTTCATTAATTAACATACATATTATTTAATATTAATTCTCGCTACTTAATATTATAAATGAGAAAATTTATTAGTTATCACCTCTTGGCAATTTAACAACTTAATCATATTTCATAATAAAATTGTAATAGCGTCATTTTTGGCATAAAGAAAAGATGGGATACTTTTTATGCATCAAGTGAACAAAGTTGTAAGACTTAACAAGTTTTATCTTCATCATATCATCATCATTATACGGTGAAGGTGCCAGCATGGAGGGGGCCTACCCCTTTCTGGTAAATGTTGTAAGAAACGACTAAGGGATCTTAATGATCAAGAGATAAGTAGCAGCAACCCTCTTTGATGCGGTTTCCACAGTTATGCTCCTGAGATTCTTACTTAAAATTTGTTATTAGTATATTTTATCTTGATATAGCACCTAGAATCGTATTACTTACCGTAGTAATTTGTTTGTCCCGATCTGTGAACAACAAAGCCCAATTGATCATATCGATGGCTTGCATTACCCCATTCCTCGTTACATCACCATTCCAGTCGGCATTCGGCTTTCCGGGTATTTTCACGTTGTTACCAAAATATAACGGTTCCGGTGGTAATGTTCTGGCAGTAATATTGATGGTCTCTTTCGCGATGCTCAGACCCCAACCGGATAATCTTTGTTTAGCTGTTTCATTGGCAAGTACATTTTGTATGAACTGAAAAATAAATACATAAATGGTCATCTTATGTTAAACACATTTATAAGCCTATATCAATCTGTCTTCATACCAGATAGGTACTTAGATAGATCCAATTTAAGCGCCAAAGATCTGTAAGTATATATACATATTTTGACACTGTTAAAAAGAAAAGAAGTAACTTATTATATTATATACATTTTATATATTAAACTGTAAGAAATAACAGGTTTACTTGCATGTATTTCTGTTGACATTGGTCGACTAGTTTTGGGACCATCTGGCACTCTTAATCATGCAAGGCTACAACGCCCGACTGGTTTTACATAGATATTCAAACGGCTTTACTCAACAATTTTTTTTTACCAATATAAAATTAACAGCATTTCACTCTGCTGTTCTGGATATTAGTAAAAATTACTAAATTAGTATTATACCTTTTTAAAAGCAGCATGTCTCTGATTTGGTGTGATCCTTGTGTATGTTGCCACATCTTTCATTAATCTAAAATTACTACGTTGATCGTCAGTCAGACCAGTCAACTGACATAATTCAGGAACAAGACAGATCATGAAGTCAGTCGGAGCTTCTGATCCTGGCATGTGCTTTGTATCTCTGTTGTAAAAACAATATAACACAAATATGTTACATTCCATTCATTTTGTAAAAAAATAGATTGACTATAGACACTCCAATGAAATACAATGTGTTCCATGGCTGTCTATATAATAATAATAATTCATTTAATTGTATATATTTTTATACTATCATCATATCAGTGGTTAACTGCTAAACATAGACCTCCCCTTGCTGCCACACTTGGCAAGCAGGTTGACAACCTCAGTTAGGCTTAATTTTAGTTTATTTTTTTAATTAAGATACAAACTATCTGTAATGGAAATTTATAAAATAAAAATATATCTTATAGCCTATCCATTAAATATGTTTTTACTAACAATAATTATAATAAATTAAAATGATATTATTTAAATGTCCAGATACCTTGAAATCAGCATTGGTTGATCCCAATCTTCAATATCAATGCCATAGTTCTTTTTATAATAATCAATATAAGATATCTTGACCATTTCACCTTTCTCATTTTTCTCAAATGTTGACCTTGGAGTCATTGTATCATCAATACTATCTACTCTGTAAATGAAAATATTAATGAATTGCATAAACATTATAAGAAAAAAAAATTTTCGTCTTTTTCTTATTTTTATTTAGTTCCAAATAAGTCGAAACTTTTTTAAAAGCCTTTCCATAAAGATCTCGAATTAACTAAATCTAACAACTCTATTCAAGATTTTTGACATCGTTGTTAGCACACCCTATAATTAACTTACCTAAACAGTTTCTTGTTATATGTTGTCATGACAGAACAACCAATAAGCCTTTCTGACAAGGCCTTCTTCCAATTAGCCCCTTCTTGTTGGACCGTCTCTCTAATGAAGGATAATACTGATTGCGTTCGAAGAACACGATGAGTGGAGTCCAATGTTAACATTAGGCCGCCTTCATATTCATCAACTGCAGTTACATATCTGAACGTAAAATAATTCTTATCACTTTCAACAGCAAAATATTTTAATTTAACAAACTTCAAAAATGTAACTTTGGTGTTTTATGAATAAAGTTTTGATAAACCGATATAAATAATGCGTCCAATGGTTAAGGGAACAAAAATTCTCATGTCAGTACATCATTGTCATGTGTCAAACAATTGTATATATAAATGTTATCAATTCGCCTATATATCTTTGCTTATTCAGAAGCAATTTTAAAAATTATTGCTTTACTCAAGAGAATTTACAGTGCAAAATTTACATCTATGTTATTGATCTAATAGTTTGTTATAATTTAGGTTATATTTTCTTATTGAAAAAATAAATCATAATCAATATCTTCCTAGATTAATCGATATATTCAACAAAAATGAAATTTTACAGATTAATTTTTCATATACTTATACTTATTCTTTTTTCATGTATGTTTCACATTCAAGATGAACAAATTTTATTCTTTTTTTTTTTTTAATAGATTGCTTTCACAGTAGTAGCAGTTTTTAATAAAATTATTATACAATAGCAAATTAATAATACAAATTATAAACAATTACCCAGGCCAAACTTCTAATTTGTACTGCGGTATCTGAATAGCGGCGTGTTCGTTGAAGTGTTGCCTGCCAAACCTCACCAGTTGCAAATCCTTCATTATGTGTTTAAACAGAACATTGTATATGTGTATCATCTCGCTCAAGCGACGAGTTCTTCTAAATATTATCTGTAAAAGGCAAAAATGGGAAAAAAATCATAATGAAATGTTTATTTTTAATAAGTTATAGACATGTTATTGATATTCCCACAAAAACGGTAAATGTTTTTAAACACAGAATACCATTTAGTTTTGTGATCTTTTTTTTTTGTGCAACTTAGAATGGCAAACAAGCTGACGGCCCACCTGATGGAAAGTGGTAACCATCGCCTATAAACATGAACAGTGTCATGGATATAACAGAGTACTGTTTCGCCCATGACACCCACCCCTCCCTGGCATTGCCATTCCTGAGGACTCAGGTGTTAATTTAATCCTCTGTACCATGTAAAATCACTATCATATCCTATCCTTCAAACTGAATTACAGCCATGCAAACAACTGCTTCACGGTAGAAACACGAATGGCACAGAAGTGCCCAAGCAAACGACTTTTGTACAAAGTCTCTCTGTAGTAAAATAATCGAAATAATTAAGCAATAATACTAGTTAGTAACAAAAATACTTACAGATATTTGTACTTTGGTGTTATCATATGGATTTGTGGATACTAAATGAGTAGCTTCATCTGGCAACATGTGTGGCACGTAAAGCGTACTGCCATCGAATGTTTTCTCTTTAAAATAGTGATTGTGTTCTGAAATAGTATAGGTAATATATATTATTACTTTATTCTCGCTGAGCTCGTATAATATGCGGCGTATATTTATTTTCATTATCCGTTGAAAAAAAAAATACTTACCATTAAGTAATTTAAAACGGAGATGTTTGTAATCCTGATCTGGTTCATACTTAACCTCATATTCGTAAACATTATTTTCTTCAAAGTTCAAATATATATAATTGGCTGTACAATCCAATGGTGTACCTGTCTCTCCTTTCATAACTACTGGAGGGGTTTCCTTTACTTCTCTCTGTATTTGATTTAATAAAAAGAAAAACACAATGATTATTTTACTACTACTATCTTCAAATTTTTTATGTGTCTGTTACGTAACATCTTCACCAATTCAAAAGCAGTTTTCATCATTTAATAGAATTTACTCTCGTATTGGACCCTAAGTTACGCCATGATTAAAGTCGCTTTTTACAAGCCTTTATTTATTTTACTATAAATATAAGTTTATAAGATAGTTGCTAGCATCTGATTATTTTGAGATTCAATTATATTACAAAATTATAATACCATCAAGTTAGTCTGATGATAAAAACTTTCTTTTACATTAAATATGAAGCCATACACTACGCATTAAAATCCGTCATGTTTAGGCCTGTTTGATATGTTTTAACAAAAAATTAAAAGCCGCAGTTTCATGATGAAGCATATATTATAAAAACATGTTTTTAAACAGACATGTTTTATGGAAATAAATATATATAATAATAAAAGTAAATAAGTTTTGTTAAATCAATTTTGAAGAAAATCTGCAGAGAATTAGCTTCATTCTCCAAAATATATTATACAGAGATGCATCATCATAATGCAGTAAAAGGCACCATCAACACTTATTCCAAATAGCATTTTCACTACATAATATCTGAGACACTTGTAACAGTATAAATTGAAAAACTAATAAATATTATATGTTTATGTAATTACCACCGGTTTACTTACAAAGTATTTGTTTTTAGCAACACTTGATGACTGTATAGTAGATGAAATTGTACTTTCCGCCATCTTTTTTGTCACTTGTCGAACATCAGCCTTCGCCTTTTCTGCTGATTTTGTAGCTTGCCTAAAAATAGACCATATCATTTCATAATACATTATCACATATTATTTTATAACATTATTACATTTTAATATTTTTTAAGATATGATTGATTGGCCAATCTTTTGTTTTTTTTTTATTTATTTTACACAATTATTTTTTCGTATAAACTTGAATAGTTCATAATATCCGTTATTATGGATATTATGAACAGTATGATATTATAAAACTTAGATCTTTTGTGACTCAGCAGATTTTACGAATTATACAAAGAATGACAAACCCCAAATAAGTTAGCCAGTCAAAAATATATCGACAACTTCACACATTGCCGAATGACACACTAAAATGCTAGAACAGATAGTCTTTATGATGGAACTTGGGAATATTAACAAATTACTATGAATATATTTGAAAAAGAAATATAGAAACGTAATATGGCAACTGCCAAACATCTTTTGATTGGTTTGTACTTTAAACTATCAAAATATAAACAAATTTTATTTAAAATTACAATAACAGAATAAACTTACAGAGTCTGTAATAGTTTGATGCCGCGGCCAGCGCCTCTTGGGGCGGATTGTTGACTAGGACTCACGTCAGTAGCAGGAACAAATGGAATGTCTACAAATATAAGGTACATCATCATTATCATCTTTGATGATATTTTAAGAGGGACGCTAATGCCCATTACTCTACCATAAAGTCGCCTCTTACGACATCAACGGGACAGGAAGTTGAGGTACATTCTATGCCGGCACACATCACACAGCATAAGGTATATAATTATCTTTATTTACTAACGTTATTATTATAATAATATAATTAAATTATAATACAAGAGGGAGAATTTTGTATAAAAATCATCTGCATAGATACCTCTATCCCACTCATGTTTTTGCCACCATGCAGATGTGCTTGCACAGCAGTTTCAGATGAGAAATATGCAGTGAAATCAAAAATATGAAGTCATAATAGTATCATAGGCTTAGTCATCAGGAAAGAAATGTTTCATTTTTGGTAAGTATTAAATAAAATTGCAGAAAAATCTGTCATTTTATTGAATACTCTTACTTCATTTAAATAAATGTATAAGATACTAATGTCTACAGTAACTGAATGGTAACAAGTATTCTAATATATCAGAAATACAAATATTAACTTAAATATTCAATCGCTTTGCTTTCTCTTTCAACTTTCAGATTTAACCCCTTTTAAACATAAAATGTCAATCAATCAACTTAAAAAAAAAGGTTCTCAATTTAATAACCCCATCAGTTATATACCAATTAGGAAAAGTTCTTTTTCTTATCTGAGAGGATATATATATTGGTCCCATAGAAATTTTATTAAAATCAGTTTAATAGTTTAGATTTGAAATCAAAATAATCAGTTATTTTGATTTCATTTACTACAATTGAAGTTGATTTTTGTTTGTGAAACACAATCTTAAATTATTTTAAAAATATAGAACAAACCTCCAGGCTTTTGCTGCATCTTAGAAAGCATTAAAGCTGCTATGCGACCTCTGCCACCAATTGTAGTTACTGTTCCTGCATCTGAACTCACCTTTAAACAAAATATATACACATTTTTTACAATCTTGTAATTACTCATTAAAATTAATTAACAAGTCCCATTCAAAATTAGTAATTATTTTATTATTGTGAACTATTTATATACTAATATTAAAAAGATATTGATTACAAACAAATTTAATTATTTGTTTGTTTGTAATCAATACATTCAAAAACTACACACCCTATTTTAAAAATTCTGCCACCTATAAAAAACTACATTATAAGCAAATAGCATAGACATTTTATAATCGGAAATTCTATCAACCCATGTAAAACTGGATTGGATTACTAGCAATATATATTTCTCGCAAAAAAAATAAACAATATATTACTGTTAACAAGACACATTTCTTAAAACTTTATACTAACTAAACAATTTAATGCCTCTATTTCACACATCAACATCTGTACTCTTTTAATTTATATATATATTTTTTATACCACTGAGGTGGCAAACAAGCATACGGCTCACCTGATGGTAAGCGGTTACCGTAGCCTATGAACACCTGCAGTACCAGAGGTATTACGCGCGCGTTGCCAACCCTGAAGAAACCTCTTTACCCCCCTTTTGAAGAACCCCATGCTGTAGTCTCTTGGGAAAACCTCGGCAGGGAGCTCATTCCATAACCTGAGTGTTCGTTCATATTTACTAGCTTTTAATGGTGACTTCATTTGCATTGATGTGGTATATTTACTGACTAGGATAAAAAGTCACCTATATTCTTCTCCGTCTCATATAGTATATGTATACAAAATTTCATTGTGATTGGGTAAGCCATTAAGGTAACAAACTCACTTTCGCATTTTTAGTACATATTATATAAGTAAGGATTGGAAAAGCCTTATTATAAAAATAAATAGACACAATAATTAGAAGTAATACAATTACAACTGCAATTTACAAAACTTTAATATGTTTGTTATATAACCCAAAAATTTTTTGAAAACTATTAGGCTATATAAAAGTGGTTTATTTAGACTCTAACAAACCACTGTTTGGGTATGTGCTAGTTGGATAGATACATTGACACTTTTTTTTAATGGTTTATAATGAATTGGTAGCACCGCCAGTGCTATTGGTATATGCTGGCAGTGCACCAGTGAGCAGCAATAGGTGAGAATGCAAGGAGGTCAATTGGCCCATCATGACAAATTCAACAAGAATTAAACATAATGATTTCCAGTGGGAACTGCATATAGATTTTATAGTATTTGCTTGATGACTGATGATATTTCCAAAAATAAGTGATTAATATCCATGAACACTGGCTAAATTTTAATTCAAGAAAAGTTAAGAAGATTGACAAAAATAGCATTACTGATGCTATTTTAAGGAAGGTTTCATGTCAAAAGGCATTTCCAATCAATAAAAAGCTTATCTCATAATACAGTATGTAGGTTAGTAATGGGACATACAATTTTCATAATAATTATTACACAGATACTAGTGTCTGTGAATTAATATTCACAGACACTAGTATCTGTGACCACTATGAATGATCAAGTTGCCAAGCAAGTATCTTGTTGTATATAGAAATTAAATAAATATAGAAACTAATACAAACAGACACATTAATAAAAACTAATATTCGTTTGGATGTATTTGTGTAAAGAGCAAACCTGAAAACATCAGGTGGGATATAAGTATTAAACCACCATGCAACCAATATTATAAATGAGAAAGTAAGTTTGTTTCTTTACTTGTTACCTCTTAGTGCCTTAACAGCTTAACCTATTATTATAAAATTTAGTGTGCACATACTATTAAGTGTGAAAGAGGACATGGACTAATTTTCATCCCAATTAATGTCAACAACCCCAATATCCCATGGGTGTTGTAAGAGGCAACTAAGGGTGGGGCGAGGGATGGGCAGCAGCATCTCTCTTAAATATTTCTAAAGCCTAATTATGGTTGCCAAACCCGCCAAGTATAGCAACTATTGGCAAAACCTCCAAAAAGAGAAGGCTTATGTTCAGAAGTAGCAGACAGTTAAAAGCTAATGTGATATGATGAGGCTACCTATAGCTTTAATAATGTTATAAAATACTTGAAAATAATGAACATACAACACTAGGCACCACACTGGGACCAGGGGTGGCTTCTGGCGAAGGATCATCTGACGATGGTGGTGTCTCAATCATTTGTGTCTTCTTCAGGGCCTGTAGCAATGCCAGTCCTCGGCCTCTGCCTCTATTGGGATCAGCCATGATCACCTATAATATACATAATAAGTCAATTTATAAGTTTCAAACTGACAAACTATTACTATCTACCTACAAGAGAAATGCTGACTAGCGAATGTAATAGTTTGGTCAAATACTTTCAACTACGGGACTAAAACGCAACAAAACTTAGAAACCTACTAGCTTAACATTTCTAATAATCTTACTTTTAGTTTTGAATATCTACAACTTTTCGATGACCTCAAACAAAAAACAAAATAACCACATTGCGAGTATAAGTCGATATACAAATTTATTGTGGATAATAGTATCAAAAAATATATCACAAAATATCAAATCTTTACATGTCAATAATAATTAAATTGCAGTTTTAGATACCTTTTTAGTCAATTTACTTAATTTTATACAAAATTACTTCGAAGAAACAAACAACAGCGCCAACGAAAAGAAAACAGAATCAAAAACAGCAACAGACCAAACTATAATAAACCACAGACACAGAGGAAACAGTCAAAGAGTATATAACCAATGGGAAACAGTATCAAAGATTTCGGAATAGAATAGATGGAATGCATAATTCACAGTGTGTTGCTTATTGTATTTATGACATTCCCATTGCATTAGAAAGGGATAGACATATAAAAACGCACTGCCTTTTGACTAGTCCGTAGAAATCAAATTCACTATGATATGTTACTTGGTTTTATTCTAATATCAAGGAATTACACAGAAGGAATGATAAAATAAAAACTGTAAATCATATTATTGCCTCCTTTCTTCTTATGTAAATATAATTATTAAAAAGAGGACGAATAATATATACCATCAGTTGCTATTTCTGGTACGAAGTATTCTTGAATATGGTTCTGTTATATGGTCACCTTGCTATAGATGCCATTCTGATAGAATTGAATCTGTTTAGCGAAAATTCTTAAAAATTCTAAATTATCGTTGTGGTTATGGGCGTATCCTATCAAATTATAAAAAAAGACTAGAAAATTTAATGTGACTCTCTTATTTACCAGACGGAAATAGATCGACTTACTTTACACAAAATAATTCATTACCATCTTCACTCGGTTTCTTTACTCTCTGCTTTGACCTTCAATATAAGAACTATAACACGGAGTTCTAAAACATTTGCACTCTGCGTTTATAAGAACAATACGTCGTATTATAATCCGCTCACCCGTATGTGTCGTTCTTTTAATGTAATTTCCGCGAAATGTCCTCAAATTGATATCTTCAACTCGTGTCTGAATGCCTTCAAAAACATTTTACAATCAGCCCCTTCGATATGTCCATATTTTTATTATTTACATGTACCTACTTCATTGTTATTTACTATACATTCATATGCTTTCTTTATATAACTTATAATTTAACATTGTTTGTCAAGTGCTTTAACTATGCTGTGTGTACACCTGTCTGGGTCTCAATCTAGTTCAAACTATTTTCTTTATATAAATGTTTATAATGTTATTAATTGTAACCTTTTAAATAAAATATATATATATAATTTTTTTTTGTCAATTTATAGCAAGGTAGTGTATAGAGAATGTTGTACGGCCATATAACCCTACTAAATTCAGATACAACCTGCTTGTATACTTTCTACATAAACTGTGTCGAATATATAATCTAGTAATGTAAAATTTGTCATTGACAAATAATTGACATATCATTTTCTGTACACTAGCCTGTTCATATATTTTATTTAAAAGGTTACAATCAATAACATTATGAACATTTACATAAAGGTAATAGTTTGAACTAGATTGAGGCCTGCTAATTCTGGAATTGAGAAACAAATGATGGTCTATATTTCGTCCTCTTTTTACTAATTACATTTGCATAAGAAGAAAGGAGACAACCATATGATTTATAGTTTTTTTTTTTATCATTCTTTCTATATGAATTATATACTTGTTTCTTTTATATATTTTTTTTTCTAATCTTCATTGTGTTGTTACTTCAAATAGTAAATTATATTTAAGTTTCTAGATATAATCCCGCTACTAACTTTATATGTATAATGTAATAATTACTTACTCTGTGTTAGTTTGTTTCTTTCTCGTCTTTGCCAGTGCAGTGATTACTATTGCTCTGTGTAATTTTTGTATTCTTTTCTTTACATATAATCTCTTTATTCTGTATATTGTTTTTGTCTTATTTATTTAGAACGCAAAAAGAAGTATAACTAAATAAAAATGTTACGAAATTCCTTAAAGTTTATTGCAAAAGGAAATCTTTGTGAACGGCCATTTACATTACTTGTGCGAAGGTAATTTAAGTAATTATTTGTATTATTTTCAACTAACTTCAAAAAGAAGCTTCTTAACTCCAACTATATTTTTATGTTTGTTATCTCATAACTCCACCAGCCATAAACGGACTTGGAAAATTATTTTTTTATCTGAAATTATATTCTTACATATTGGTCCTGTAGAAATTTTATTAAAATCAATACATTAGTTTAGTTTTTAAATCAAAATGACTAGTTTTGTCAGAATTTAAGTTTTTTTTTGGAACACAATCTTTATGGACTCATCTGCATGAAGCTTGAAATTTATTTAGACCTTTTTTCTTTTACAGATTTATGCATATCAGGCAATTTAGTGGTTTGCAGTCACAAATATCTAGAAATGTTGGTAAAGTTAGACCGATTCTCAACAATTGTCAATGTCGTACTATGTTCATACAAACACAAGATACACCTAATCCAAACAGTTTAAAATTTTTGCCAGGAACTAAAGTATTAGAACCTGGACAGACCATGGATTTTCCTAATATAGGTTCAGCACAGTGCAGTCCTTTAGGTAAATTACAAATATGTATTTATACTTATTCAATATACAATTTTCGAAGAATGCACAATTTTCAAAGAAAAACTAAGGATTTATCTGTATGGATACCTTAGTCCATATATTAAAAAAATACCTTAGTCCCATTCATATTTTGGTTGCTAAGCAACTCCACACACTGTTTCAGTTTTATGAGTATGTAAGGCAGTATGGAGGCATATCTTCGTTCTCAGGTATAAAGGATGTCATTAATATTATAATGTAGGATAAAAGCCCTGATAAAGTTTTCCTTTTCAATTTATGGGTATTTTTTATCTTTAAATTTTTTATAATATGCACATATAATATGTATATATAATTTTTTTTAGAAATGTTAAAGTATATTTTACATTTTCAGCAAAAATGCTATTTCGCATTGAAGGTGTGAAGGCTGTTTTCTTTGGTCCTGAATTTGTTACAATAACTAAACAAGATGATGATGTTGACTGGAAATTATTGAAACCTGAAATATATGCTACCATAATGGACTTTTTTGCTAGTGGATTACCTGTAGTTACAGATGCAAAACCTTCTGGTGATACACGTAAGTATTTTATAAAAAAAAAAACAAGACATTAAATTTAGTAATAGTTTATTAATTCATTTACCATCAGGTGAATTACAAGTTAGTTTACTTCTTTTTATAAGAAAACTAGCTTTTAGTTACAACTTTGTCTACATGACCAAGACATGTTCACAGATTGAAATAAAAAATCTGCTAAGTTGTTTTAACATTCAGTATAGTCCAATGGCAAAAAAAGTAAGCATTATTAAAAAAAGTATTTATGAAAATTTAATATTTTCTGTACTAGATTTATCAGTTTATTCACTCTATTGTGATTTTTATTATCAGAAATAAATGAAGATGACGATGAAATTGTTCAAATGATAAAAGAATTACTCGACTCTCGAATTAGACCTACAGTCCAAGAAGATGGTGGTGATGTACTCTTTGTGGACTTCAAGGATGGTGTGTTGAGACTCAAAATGCAGGGATCCTGTTCCTCTTGCCCTAGTTCTATAGTGACTTTGAAAAATGGGGTAAGTCTATATACCTAATAGGGATTGTTGGGGGGAAAGGGATTGTTAGCAATGGAGTTTAACAGCCCCATTGCTAGCAATAAATTAAAAAAAATACCCTATTAGGTCGACCATATGGTTCCCCCTGGAAACCATCATGAACAATTCTTGTTGAATTTGTCACGATGGGCTAACTGACCTGCTTACCTGCTTCGTCCTCACATATCATCTCTCACTGGTGCCCCACCAGTGTATACTGGTAACGGTATACTGCTAACGCAGGTGGGGTAAACATTTCATTATCACCCATTAAACAAAAATAGGGATTGTTAGTAAATTTCCATTACTAGTCCCTCTTGCTAGCAATATAGTAACAAATCATGTCATGAATATGTGTCTGGAAACCGTTGTGGTTAATTCCTAGTGAATTTGTAATATTGGTCTCAATAATGTGGCTTCCTCATCTACATCTCTCATTATCCTTGTATACTAGTAGCATAGGTAAAATTAACATTGAGTATGGGTAGTAAGTAAATCACAAAATTTACTATTCTCAAGTTATAAAACAATATGGTACATTAGTTTTGAGCGAGTGGTGTTTGATTATTGACATGAAATTTGTGATAATGAATGTTGAACTAAAAAATTAAATACACTGTGACAACTAACAAGTGAGTTAAAACTAAGTATCAGACTCTACATTATGTTTTTAGGCAGAGAGAACAACAATCTTTAAGACTTTCATATATTTTCTTATGCATTTACTCCCTTTGATAGTCACCAATCATATTTATTATTAATAAAAAAATAATAATAATTTCCTTAAATTTACTATTACAGGTTCAAAATATGATGCAGTTTTACATACCGGAGGTATTAGCTGTTGAACAAATTGATGATGAAGGTGAAAAAATAAGTGAAAAAGTTTTCAAGGAATTCGAACAACTGAAAACCAAAGACAAATGAATCCCATAAATATTAGTAGTAAATTTTTGTAAGTATCTGTTGTGTAAATATAATAATATATTGTATTAGAATATAGGTGTTTATATAATACATAGTATATATATGTATATTGTTTTCTAATATTTAGTTTATAGAGATTTTGGCTGCAATAATGCAATATTTAAAAGAAATAAAAAACTTATTGATTTTTTATTTATGTTTTTAAGTATGAATGGTAAGTTTGACCTATTAATTCCCAATGAATAATTGGATAGTACAGGATTTTAGTATTGGATAGGCGATTAAGAAAATAAAGCACTATATAGTAATGTCTGAGAAGAAAGGCGAAAAACATGCATATACAAAAACATGCCTTACAGTAAATATAGCTTTTTACACTACTAATTTATACGAATATATTAAAGAGAGGTTACCATTTTATTCTTGTGAAAAAGTAAATATTGATATATGTATGTGTAGCTACATCAATGTTTATTTTTTTACAACTGCTATTTCATTATTTTGACAACCTTAAGTTAGTTTCATTTATTTATATAGCCTTTTACAGATTTATTAAGTTTTATTTATATTAATATAAATATAGTACATTACTGCAGCGGCCAGCAACTTAGGCATTGATGGACGAACGTGCAAATGTGGGCTGAGGCGTAACCGAGGCACACATACGTGAGCCCATCAATGCCTAGTTGTGGCCAAGGCTTGTATAGTACTTTTCTCAAACAATGCGCGGAAATTAAAAACACAATTTTAATCTTTAAGTTCAATGACGAATAACGAACAATAATAATTTTTCACGCGCCTTGTTCCTTTTTTTTTTCAATAAACAGCTTTCTATTTGCAAGGCAGTTCGAAATTTAAATAATACCTTGTATAAGTTACCTCCTTGGTTGCCATGTTTCGAAGTAAAAGATCATTCCATTTTTTAATTACAGGACAGATATGAGTTTACATAGTAAATTATCGGGCCGCAAAACACGACAGATATAGATTTTCATACAACTTTTGCCGGCCGCTGCCCTCATGTATCTGGCCAGTACGGCAATTTTGATTTATCTCTAAGAAGATTGTCCAAATAATGCTCACATTTCCAAGCATGTTTGAGAAAAAACTTAATAAATCTGTAAAAGGCTATCGTCATCATCATCATCATATCAACCGTTAGCTGTCCGCTGCAGAGTATAGGCTTCTTCCATAGGTTCTCATTAGGAACAAACCCGAACCACCTGCAAAACTTAAATCTAAGAATATTTTTAATTGAGAAATAAAAGTATCAAAAATACAAATATATTTTGTATTCTTAATTTAATTCTTACAAAATATAAATACAGTTGAGTAATAATAAACTATGATATAGGTAATTAACTAATATACATTTTAAATTCCATTAGCATGTGTTTATACATCAGAATTTATTACAATACTTTATACAAAATAGATCTTATAGTCTAAAAAATAATTACTGGACATCTAAATGACTAATATTTATTTTTGATTAACGCAAAAAAAACATCTCTGATTTATTTCAATAGATTATATAGGGTTGTTTCACATGTTGCTGATAAATAATCTCATTCTAGTATATAGCCCATCCTATGGGGGGGGGGGGGGGATTGTTAGCAATGGACTTCGAATTTGCTAGCAATAATAGTATTATTGCTAGCCCTATCAGGTCGATCTCTTTTAAATTCGTCACGACGGGCTAACTAACCTACTTCATCCTCAGCTATTATTCTTCGCTGGTGTCCCGCCGGTGTATACCAATAGCGCGGATGGGGTTACTATTCCATTATCACCCATTAAAAAAAAAGCCCATCCGATGACTAAGCCTATTAACACCTGCAACACTAGGGTATCACGTGCGCGTTGCCTTATTTTTTTTTTACATATGAGTAAAAAAATAAGGCAACTAATAGTTAATTAACGAGTAATGCTCATTTACTACGTTGTTTAACCGCAGTTTAAATATTTTAACAGTTGAATGGTTATTTCATCTGTTTATATAGATATAGGTAAATTATTTTTTTGTTATTGTTAGGTAGTATTTGAAAACGAAAAAAAAATATATATACTTTGCGTAATTCCATATATGTTCTGTGGTTGAATAATTTCTATAATGCATCTTGTAAGGCTATATTTATTCTGATGTTGTTTGTGTATGTGAAGAGCTGTGATTATTTATCTTCAAATAAACCACAAACTTGTGTTATTATAGAGTTTATCAGCAACCGTGAAATAGGTCAACAATAATTATAATAGAAAAGCGAACATGACCAAAACACATAACTCGGCTGTGTGTGACAAGTACATGGTGATAAACAGAGGGGCGGGGCAGTCTTACCGTTGCGTAATAATTACTATAGTAAGAGAAAAATGTCGGAAAAAAGTTACTGTAAAAAGAATGAAGAAATTGTAATAAAGCATGTTTATAATGTACTTATGCTATTTGTCACACAACAATTCCTCTATATGTATATCTCTGATATGAACTATTTTGATGTATTTTAGGCTAATACGATTATCACAAAGCATCTATATTGTTTAAAATATGAATATTATGTACTCAAATATTGTAAGCAAGGCATATATTCAAATTAGCATTACATGTATCATACAAAATTTTAAATATTCAAACTGTACAATGGCAGTGTTTTAAACTTACGGTTAACGTATAAAATAAGTGAATGCAGATTACTTATAATTACTGCGACAATTAGTTATTGTGATATTAAATAAATCACTTAATATAATACTTATAATAGTAGTATCTACGTTCATTGGAACCTTAACAAAATTGGTTTTAGAGTCATCGTTCTTTTGACATATACTTAGTGCCCAACTTCGTCATGTCTCGTAATTAAATTAAAGAAAAAAAAACAAGAACGAAAATATTCTTAAAAACGAAGATACTGTATGTTATAACATCCAGTATCTTATTAGTAAATTAAAATAAATAGTGGCCAAATGCCAGGAATATTACGTCTGTCGCTAGGTGTCCTTTTTGCCTTTGATGGTAGATTCGAGCGAAAACTAGAACCTAACTAGGTAGGATAAAGTATAAAATTGTTATGAATTGTTTACGATTGCATTCGGAGCAAGGAAGGAATATTAACACGTCCCTAACAAATATTATAGAAGTAAGAGAAGATGCAATCGCTCGCTTTATTTAAGTCCACCTTAAAACTAATCTTTGTTCAGCTTGGGCGCCGGTCTAGTGCTGAGATGTGAAATGAACGATGATCCTTAAGGCAATAAATCTAAGATCATATAAAACTTAAATCTTCCGTAGGAGTATAATTTTCTATTTAATACTTACGATTTTAAGCCTCGGTACTTGTAAAAATTGAATTAGGTGGTATCCACTCTAGCCCTTGAGGGACATATCGACTGGCAATATCTTCGATAAATTCTGTCAAATTGTTATTCAACTTAAACGATTTTATATATTTACAATTATTTTTCTTTTTAAAGTAATGCACTAAATTATTCATTATAGAATAAGATGGGAATAAATCTACAACAAAATGCGCACGTTTGCATTATAAAAAACCACCGCACAAATGTTGGCTTCTTCAGAAACTAGACGATAGTGCACTGTGGTAACTTAAACAATCATTTTAATATATTGATTTAATTTTATTTGGATATTGACAGCACACGTTGACTCTCTTAATACGTCTCTTTTATTCATAAGTAAGATATATACTGTAGGCATATAGAACTATTTATAATATTTTTGCTATTGAGTAAAGTAAAAATGTTCTATGCGAGATTTCAGACTATGTTTTATAGAGAATGAGTCGCGGATGTCTACTGTTTCGTTCTTACGAATCGTTTGCTAGTTCTCTATGCTCCCTGATTGGTCCATTGTTTTATATCAATCTCGACGTTGGTGAAATAATAAATGACTCTTCATTATTTCATCATTGAGTCCACAATTTTCATATAATTATTATAATCGTCACATATCGTTATATTACATTATATCATGTAAATTGTGTTCTTCAAAATGTGAAATCACATGTCTACAAATGTCACTCTTGTAAAAAATTCATATTTAGCGTCATAATATTTAATAAACAGGAATTTTAGCATCACTAGTAATATATATTTTATATCGCAATAAAATAGGCGCATTTAAATATTCCAAAATTAAAATACACATAAATAAATGTAGTACGTACTTACGTAGGAATTGAAACAATGTTGCCATTCCATAGTTGCCATAAGACATCTTTTTTGATAAATTGAAGGAAAAAGACAGAAAAATCGTTTATACAATGTTACTATTGCAAATGTATAATATTTATAATTGTATTGTGCATAATTAGGAGCATATTAAATTTTTTTTCTTTTATTTTCTAATATATGCACTGTTAAAAATATTCTGTCTATTTGATTAAAATGTGTTATGATTAAGTAAAACCTTGTCGTCTTACTAACTACTAAATGAAAACGGCCATAAGGAAATGCTTGATTTGAGAACAAAATGTGTTTCAATGTGTGCGTAATTTAAACGCATCAAGGATTGCATCTGCATACACAACACGATGGAAACAAAAACCAGTCCATAAATATACCCATACAGTCATTATTCGGGTCGTAAGCTAGGAGGCGATGCCACTTGTACTTCTGTTCGCATCCACAATCGCCTGAACAACGAGATGTTGTTGTTTTACTGAAACAAAATAACATAATTTGTATAATTTTTTTTCTGCTGCAGAATGGCAACAAACTTGATGGCCTACTGCTGGAAAATGGCAATCATAAATATATAATTAATTTCAGTTGTTGTATACACATATACACACACACACACATATATATATATATATATATATATATATATATATATATATATATATATATATATATATATATATATATATATATATATATATTATCACTTATAAATCGTTCATTTCTAATATAGGTCTTTATAGCCAGACGAAAGGAATAATCTTGAGCCATCTACATTCGTTGTTTCTAAGTAGGTAGTCGTCCTCAACTTCCTGTTATATATAGGTTCATTGTTGGTTGTATTTGTTTGAGCCATTTAGCTGGCTCATTGCTATTTCATCTTGTTGATCCTTGGGACTATATCGATTAATTTTTGGTTCTGCTGTAGAATGGACAATTTTGCTCTAGCAGAAACAAATTCCTTGGAAGCCTTAACAGAAGATTTGTCGGGCATATTCGAATGTAACGTAGCAAAAGGTAAACCTAACGCTGTGTAACTGATTAAGTATTGTACTGTTAGGCAGTAAATAGAGCTAAAAATTTTTTGTAATTTCTGGCAACTTGGAATGGTAAACAACTGGCTTACCTAATAGAAACTAGTAGTTCTCAAATACCATGTATGGTCACAGAACAGATCGTAACGCACTCCAATTTTTTTGCTATGCCCCACCTTAGAGATGTATCTGCTTAGCGACAAACTGAATTGGACCAGAGCTATCTCTGAGGACGTTTTTTTTTATAAAGGGCGTATGATTACTAAAGGGGGATTCTTTAGTAATCATACTTTCCGTACCTGCATACTTCTTGATGAATGGCTTGTTCAAAATGCATAGTGTTGACAATTGCCCGTAACTTGCTAGCTGAATTCATAGCCCAGTATGGAGTAGTGATAGTCGTCTTGCTTTCACATGCGTCTACTCTGAAAATGGAATTTAAAAAAAACATTATAATTTTTCTCACTACAATTTTGTGTATTCTTTACATTAACCGAATACCAAAGAGCTGTATCATTGCTTCATTTGCTTTTTTCGTCTCGGAACCGTTATGTCTTATACATATATGCCAGTTTCGGCATTATGACTCTTCATGTATCTGACGTAGTCTATCAGATCATTAGGTAAGTTTCCATTTTCCACTTTCGCATTATGTTTAGTTCTTTATCGTTTTATCTGATATTTTTTCCTCAAAAGTTCTAAGACAATAGAATAGTGCTCACGTTAGTTTTTTTTTCCTCAAATTTGTTTTTATTGTCATGTGCAAATTTTAAACAGTAAATAGGAAACTCTAATTCCGCAGTCATTTAGAATACAAGGACTTCGATTTTATTAAATAAAAAAAAAATAATCTTATGTTAAATATTATAAAATAAAATGCAAAAAAAAAATTGGTTGATGGAAAATCATAATTATCGCCTACAGGCGACAACATACAAGCTGTTATGCATTACATTTTTTTGAGATAATGGTAGATATGATAAGTTTAAGGTAAGCTTTTTTTAAACTGAAACAGCCGTGTAAGTGGTTACTAGATGATAGAAACACGAGTGGGATTGAAGTACCCATGCAGCCAATTTTGGGAGTTGTCATACTACAAGCTCTGCTTTGTGATAAATAGTCAATGACATAGTGACATAACATTATCTATGGTGGTATTATTTTTGAGTGGTGATCGTTTAGTTGGACAGCGTTTGACTGGGGTTTAGATTCCAACTTTGACTCCAACCTAAGTTTCAGAATTTTAAAATATAAGTTTGCATCATTTAAATATAATTTTCACTTGCACAGTGCTGTAGTAAAGGCGGTATTTAAATACTCTATTGGCGGCAAATGTATGAATCCATCTCTGACTACTTAACATCAGCTTTACTTAACATCGTTTTATAGTCAAGACAATCCTTTTATTTGTTACATTTTGGTTTATATTTTCATTAAGTCATATTGAAACAGATTATAAAGTGGCATTATTTATTTACCTGTCTGTAGCATTAACATTCTGTGCATCCGGTGGTAGTGGTGTATTAGTCTGCCGTACATGGCGGAAGAATGAGTCCCCTGAATGTACGTCGGGCACGCCCGGTGCTCGTCGCACCCTACTACCGCCAGGTGTCGTGAACGTACCGTACATTCGCTTTATTAGCGCTTTGTTCTCGTCTATGAAGTTCTCGATTTTGTCTCTGAAAAAAATTTTTTTTTTTAATATTAAATTCGGTATTTCGTGATTTTACCCGCAGGAATTAGTACATGAAGTATCCTATGTGCTAAGTTAGGATAACGTAACAAACATCCAGCTATCTAATATCCTAACAAACTTTCGCATTTATAATAGCTTTAGGATCTATGCGCATTTGATCCACTTGATAGTAAGTGACGATTAGGTCTACGTTGTTACATGCAAACTCAATGCTTATTCACGTAGTCTTCAAAGATTCCATGGATGGGAATATAGACACCGGAAAAGAATTCTTGGTTGCTCATGTAAGAAATGAGGAGGCAAGCAAGCGCCTGTTATATTAATTTTAATAGTATGTAGATATCTACACACCTTTAAATTTAATATAGGTAATATAAATATAAAGCGTAGATTAGATTTTAATGGGTGAAAATGGCATGGTAACCACCTGCGCTATCGGTATACACTGGCGGGGTACCAGTGAGAGGTGATAGGTGAGGATGAAAAGGATGAGGATGAAAATGAAGCCTTTTCATCGTCACCTATCACGCCCATTAGCCTATCGTGACGAATTCAATGATAAATTAGTCACGATAGTTTCCAACCTCCCCATTTTTTTTATACAACTTAGAATGGCAAACAAGCTGACGGCCCACCTGATGGAAAGTGGTAACCGTCGCCTATAGACATGAGCAGTACCACGGACATAACAGAGTATACTGTTTCGCCCATAATACCCCCCATGCGTTGCCATTCCTAGGCACTCATGTGTTATTCCTCTGAACCCAGTAAGTTCACGCCATATCCCAATCTTCAAACCGAAACACAGCCATGCAAATACAACTGCTTCACGGTTGAAACACGAATGGGACAGAGGTACCCAAGCAATCGAATTTTGTACAAAGTCTCCCTCTGATTGATAGTAACAATCCCTTTCCCAGATTAGATATTTAGCTGTGGTGCATAGAATGGACCACCCCTTCCCTTCCCGTGGGTATCGTAAGAGACGACGAAGGGAATTTAATGGTCGTGGACAGCAGCGTCCCTCTTAAAACACCACCAAAGTCCAACTGCTGTTTCGTCTGCCAAACATGGCAGCTACTGGCAAAATCTTCCTTTATGGGGGTGGCCTATGTTCAGCAATGGATAGTTAACAACTGATATTGTATGGTATGGTATGTTAGGTTAGATATATATTTTAATGCAAGTTAGAATGGCAATCAACCTGAAAGTCTATCTGATGAGAAGTTGTAACTATCGTCTCAAGACTTGAGCAGTACCATGGATATCACAGTACATATGTGACACTAATGATATTTGTCATACATTGCCATTCCTGAAGACAATGTTGTTATGCCTGCATAGGTACCCGTGATTTTATTACTATATCCCATCCTTCAAACCGAAAGACAATCATGTATGCAAACAGACTGCTCTTCACCCGTCTTCCAAAAGAAGGAGCTTCTCAATTCCGTTGATTTTTTTTTTTATATTTGTTACCTCATAACTTCGTCAGTTGTAAACCGATTTGGAAAAATCTTTTTTATCTTAAAGGATATATTTATAGATTGGTTCCGTAAAAATTTCATCAAAATCAATTCAGTAGTTTATTTTTTAAATCAAATTGATGTCAGTTTTTTTTTTTTTTTGTGGATCACAATCTTAAATTATGTACAAAGTTCTCTTGTTAAATTCTAATATATGTAGGCAAAAGCTAGTGTAATATGAAAATAAAAATCATACACTTTATAGTTAATAAATAAATAAATAATTTATTTCTACTTACAAAGGATACGCACTACCAGCAGTCGGGCAGTAAAGTTGGTAGTTGCGTTTGACACATGGTATGCCTCTGACGATTTGGCCTTGCAACTCGTAACCCAGTGCCAGGGAGAGCGCCGTCCACAAGATCTGAAATTATTACACACGAAATCCTCAAAAAAATAATACAAATACATTGTAAGAGTTGTTTAATGTAAATATATCTAAAACACCATAATTATCACTTTATCACATTAGTTTTTCACTATAACACGAATACGTATTGTTGTATTAATATACAATACTACGTATAATAACAGAAGCTTTAAATAAGATTTATTGTGTATTAGGTACGGTCAGCAATAGAAGTTACACTCGTGAATTCTATTGCGTCCAAATAAAGTCCAAATTAAGTTATCTAACGATCAGACGGTAGGCTATATTGTTAATATTTTATGACGCGTTCGTATTACATGGAACAAAACACGATTACTATAAATCTGAATAAGTTATTACACGTCTCACCATAACAAATGACTATTACAATGTGGGAACGAAAGTACCATGTACCAAAGTGTACTAGTTAAGTAAGCACGCAATAAATCACCATATTATATATAAACTCACAATTAAACTATTTAAGCTGAGCAAATCCATGTCCGGTAGTGGTCAAATGTTTAATTAACACGTCCAGCTACTGTACCGTGTGTTAATTAACTGAACGAATCCAAAACAGATAACAACCGAAAAAAGACGTTACGCTCCGTACAACTCCTTCGATGCACAATGGATCATATTCATAGGATGCTTCTTAAGATATATCCTATCTTTCGTTTATATTCATACAAACACGCCCATAAATACGCTACTTATTCGCAGTGTTTTTTATCGTGCATACAAATAGGAAAGTGTGCGTATTAATGGTCTTCAGATACAGTAGATGTAAATATTCCGATGGGCATACATTAAGTGTCTAACGCAAATGTTAATCAGAATTCAATATAGCCAACTCAACAAAACGTACTCGATCGGAATATACTAACAGATTTCCGATGAAAATATTTGTATTCAAATTACAATTTCTCTTAATATTCAGAGATTGCCATGGATGCATAATAGAATTTTATTATGGAATACTCTGTTGCATTATAAAATGGAAAACTGGATCGCATCATTAATTTAAGCAAGAGCTAGTTATTTAGCAATTCAACAGTTCACTAGTATATTTTAGAAGCAAGTGTGTCAATAACCTTGCTTGGTACGAAATAAATTTACATATATTTTTGAACATAAAAAATAGCATTTGGCGCGCCGACTTCTGGTGCTTGAGCATCATTGCTGATGATTTATTACATTTTTATATCTCCATGTGCTGGTTTTTACGTTGGATTCGCAATAGTAAAGTTCATTTGTTAGTACATCTGAATAATATTCAGATTTTTATGATGTTATGGACAATCTATTTAATTTTTATGTCTCTTCCGACTGTTGGTCCAAGGTCAAATGTAATCATTAAACCGTAAAAGACTAATTAATTACTCAAAGTATTAGGGAACGATTTAAATATCATTCTAAAATGTTTCTTACGATATATTATGACTGAATCTCATGTGATGAATTGGTGCGACTTAATGATTTAAGGAGGTAACATAATTATATCTCGAGTTCTTCGAATGTAATAATAGCATTTTATTATTGTTTTGTTGTACTCGCTTATGTAAGTAGAAACATTAAAGTACTTAGATCTATTATATTTTAAGCTAAGAAATTCGTTCTTAGATGCGTGTTTGTTTCTTGGAAAAAAATTTGCGAAGATTTCTATGCCGCAGTGATGTGTGATGATTCGTGTAAGTGGAGTGCTGGATTCAATTCTCTCGAAAAAAAAATTACAGTGCCGCCCATATCACTTTTTAAAACTGAAGACGTTGTTTTCCTTGTATTAAATATTATACTGTCTATTTATTTATTGTGTATTGTGTGTTGGTGTAGTAATGCCGAATATAGTTATAATTTAAATGAATTTTTATAATTTTGAAAATAAAAAGGAAAGAAAATTATGTCAATTTAGAAATAGGTTTATTTAAATAATGATTATTCCTATTTCTGTGAAAAGAGAAAGGAATGTAGTGTAATGATAATATATGGTGTAAATAAAAATGGAAGGTACTTCGAAATCTCCATGGAATTAGTATTCCTATCTATACTTAATTATATGCGCCCACTTTCATAGTGATCGGTCCAAGGATTTTGAAGTTTATGCTTCTCATATATTCAATACTTATTCTTCTATGTATATACATATAATAAAGTTGTCTACAGTTGTGTGCCTAAAAATTTAACAGAAATGTGGTACATGTTTTAACTTAATAAGTTATTTAGAAATGTTCTAATTCGATGGGTTTCCTATTTTCATTCACGAGTACGAAGTCGCGAGCAAAAGTTAGTAGTATATGTCTTTTTTTATAAATTATAATTGTAGTTTCATAAATAAAGGGTAAAATCAAAACGATTAGCATCTTTTTCAGATAGTTTTTTTTTTATACTACTGAGGTGGTACAAGCAAGCACGCGGCCCTCTGATAGTAAGTGGTTACCGTAGCCAATGAACGCCTGCAATCCCAGGGGTATTACGCGCCCGTTGCCGACCCTGAAGAAATTTCTTTACTCCCCTTTTTGAAGAACCCCATGCTGTAGTTTCTTGGGAAAACCTCGGCAGGGAGCTCATTCCATAACCTGAGTGTTCGTGGGAGAAAAAATATCTCTGATAGTGTTTTATTAGTGAATATAAACATTGCTCCCGATCGAAAAATTAGAAATAATTAAAGCCTCCTATATTAACAGGACACTCCTTGCTGTCAAGTTAGAATGGTTATATTGTATTTCGAACTCTGTTTAGGAGAAGTATTAAGTTTCATCATTAGGACTTAGGATGCTTATCAAATTATATCATACCAGCTTTTTGTCCTCTGCTTAGTACGCGTGGATTTTAGAAACAGGAAAATCAATTGAATAGACCACTTATAGATGAAACATACACCAGTTTTTAAATTAGACCTTCAGCTGTGAAAACCAACTCCAATTTTGGTGTAGTAGTTTTGATAGACAAATAGTCAAAATAAAAAAAAATGGCTTTTTTATTATTTTATTATTGTTTTGACATCACGTTTTTAAAAATTAAAGTATTATTCTATTGCATTTATTAAGAGCTTTTTTTTTAATATCTCACATATGCAGACATCGTCTAATTACAATTTTATTATATTAGTGAGATATTTGACAGTGTAATATAGCCCTAAGGCAAAGTCTACAATGTTTACGTGTAGGTTGGCTGTTTACAATTTATCATGAGCTCTTTGGATAATAAATGGATCAATAATCATTTAGCATAAATTAAGTTATTAAGTTACTTACATTAATTAATGTAGTCTCACATACATTAATTATGTAGGTACTAATCGCGTGCATTAGTAAATAAATAGGTATATCATGTTACTATTAATATTTCGCAGTGACTCGGATTTATTTATAGCTAACACGTATCTTTATATACATATTTAGTTAGATACACAATTTATTTGTATGTTCAACACAATAATCAAAACCACAAAAAAGAAAACTAGGTAATTTATGTAACAAAACTGGATCATGTGTGGCGTCACTTTAACAGTCAATTAAATTTCCCTTCCAACACGGGGGATGGGACATTTAAGAGTCTTTCAAGAGGAGTTTAGTAGGGCCAGACGGCTTGGTATAGATATTTTTCTGAATACTCTCTTCTTCATTAAGTATGTTAATTCGTCTACTTAGTCGAAAGATTCTTGTTTTTGGCGGCGTACCTTTTAAAATATTGCCAAACCTTAATTGTGGTTACCATGCTTGGCAGGCGGGTTGGCCGCCAAGCATGGTAACCACACGTAACTACTGACATGGGAGAAATTTAAGAGAAATTGTGAGGTAAATTGATAAGAGAAATAGAAGCTGAAACAACAATTTTGAGAAATTTTATATATCTGTCTGTATGTATTTTTGTTTCGCCATCATATAGCAATAATAACTGCACCAAATTTGATGCGGCTTTCACAGCTGTGTTCCTGAAGGTCTAATTTAGAATTTGGTATATGCTTTATCTTGCTACGTAATCTAGAATTGGTCCATTTCATTAGTTTTGTTATTTCTAAAATCAGTACACATTACTTCGGGCAAAAAGCTAATTTAGAATATAGATGTAGATATAATAGAGGTTTTATGTTTACGAGCAGATGTATAATTTAAAGTACTAATATTTTTTGCCATTGTTTGGGTTTAGTCATTTGTTGTAATTGGTTATTTTATATGCGGCCCACGACAATGCAAATGTTCGTTGTTTACGTTAAACACTTAGCCAAAATAGCAACAATATCGATCGTGCTAAAGTTCAAAGTTAGATATTAAAATACGATCGATGTATTTAAAAAAAAAAAACTCCGTCTTTAAAATGCGTCAAGTTTAATATTTCGATCTGACTCACATAAACAAAAGGTTCATTGCTTTAACATAAGGGTATTTATTATAATTATGTTAATGGTAATATAAATACTCGTACATTTACTATTAGCTATGCCCGCGAATTTGTTCGCATGCCATCATTATCATCATCGTATCAGCCGATATCTGTCCATTGCTGAACATAGGCCTTACTGCCATATGGAACGGTCCTGAACCACCTGCATCTGATTTCCTGCAATGCATTTGAGGTGGTAACTCCGTCTAGTGGGGGGGGGGGGGGGGGTAAGGGATTGTTAGTAATGGGGTCAAATAGCCCCATTACTTGCAATATACCCTGTCAGGTCGACCTCCACGTGGTTGCCCCTGGAAACCATCGTGGTTAATTCTAGTTGAATTCGTCAAGATGGGCTGACTGATCTGCTTTCATCCTCATCTATCAACTCCCACTGGTGCCCCGCCAGTGTATACCGATAATGCAGGCGGGGTTGCCATATCATTATCACCCATTAAAAAAGACTCCGTCTAGTGAGGGGGTGTCCTATACTGCATTTGCCCATACGGGGTTGCCACTCAAGAACCTTTCTGGCCGATCAATTGTTGGTTCTTCGAGTTATGTAATCAGCCCATTGCCACTTCAGTTTGCTTTTCTTTAGGACTATGTCGGTC